CGCTGATGGACAAATGTTCTGTATTGATTGTTACGTAACTTTCGTAAGTTAATTAAATTACTATGGCTAGTTCCTCCATCGGTTTCCTTGCAGCCTCTATGTCCTAAAGTTTTCTTAGGCTTTCTCTCGCGGGCTTCTCGTAGTTTCTTGCATAAAAAGCTGATCAGTGAAGGTAAATAAACTCTGACGCGGATCAGAAGTCGCCCAACTCGAAGCGCGCACAGAAGAAGATACACCTGACCAGAAATATCGAGTTCCAGAACCACCAGTGCATGATACGGAATACAGCTTACCAAGATCAGCGGCACAACCGTGCAAAAATGCAGAACAGTCAACAGTGATACGTTTCTGAGAACGTTCGAAAGGCGCCGAGTATGTTTGCTACTCCACGCCAGAACATCCATGTTGTAAACGAAATCGCATATGCAAACCATCCAGGCAAAAAGTACACTTCTGTTGAATTTGTTGATCTTGGAGAAAAACCAACCTGTTGTCACAGAGGAAAAAACGAACAGGTCCCACAGAATCTTAGAAACACTCTCCATATCAGTGTTGCGTCGGACGGTTCATTAATTTGGCGCGCATAAATTAAAAGTGCTTTTTTTCAGGGGTTTGTCAAGAAAGTAAGTCCACATTAGTGCGTCTTGGCTGATTTTAGTCGTTGTGTCGATCACAATCGATGCATGTGATCGCGAACTGAAAAACCATCAAAGATGTCTCGCTTTAGCCTTACTAAACGAACAAAGTTCAATTCAATATTGTTCAGAGTCTAGTGAATGTCTAAGGAAACATTCTCTATTCTGCGACCTTTGTTGGCTGCTGTTAAAACTACTTATATGCCAGATTAACGTTTCGAGTTCGCCTAAAATAGTCAAAAAGTTGTTCAGTTTCTTGACATCGCTAAATTTTCAATATGCGTACCATTTAATTTTAAAGCAGTAAAATTTAACCGATTGAACCGTAAAAGTGATTTGAAACAAATGGAAGTATTACGGAACAGTTTTCAACTATCGGAGCGAAGGTTGAAATCATTAACCAATGAGAACTCGAAGTAAAAACAGGCAACCAGCTTGCATTTGAAGCGCGGGAAAACGCCAGTGACCAAGTCGTGATTGGTTTTATCATTGCATTTGATTGGTTGAGAGGGTGACGCGGGTTTCAACGCGTCAACCGAAAAAGCTTTGATTGCTTAAGGAATTCTCCTTGTCAGTACAAAAGCAAATGTATACAAGGAAGATTATGGAGAATGTAGATACTGACGTTAGGGTAAAAAGGGTATAAATACTTATAAAGATAATTTTGGCGAGTAAATCTGTTGCCATGATTGAATCAAAACCAAACTCGTTTAGAATTATGCCAATGAACCCAAAACTACGTTTCTCTTCAACTACATGTCCGTCTTCTTGAATCGCGCCGTCCTTCTGTTTCGCCTCGACGCAGGGTGTGTCACAGCCGTCCCCTACCTTAAAAACAGAGATAGAAAAAAAGAAGAAGGGAAACGCTCCACTTCCCGATTTTTTTTTTGGAGGTTAGTGGGGGAGGGCTGCTGCAAACAGGCTATGCTCTTCGCCGCCTGCTCAAATTACTTGATGTAAAACAAGACAGCCACCTAAAAGTTAAAGCAGGCTTTGTAATGATGCTTTTCCAAGCGGGTTTAAGAAATCTCTACGAAAATTGAGCAGCTCTGCAGCACTTCTGGTCGTACGAGAAGAGATGCCCTCATTATTTAATGAACTGGACACAGAAAAGTGAAAACGCGTCACATTTCGTCATATTCTGGGTAGACTGAATAGACTGGATTTGCATCGAAATACTCGCTTCTCAATATAAAACGTATCGATACGTCAATTTCTACTATAGACAAGAAAAAGGTCTGGCATTACATTCTCTGCAAATAATTTGAGTCTTGCTCAAACCATTCACTCTGATTTAGGCATGTTACTCAATTCGAGCGATATCAAATCAGAGAGGCCTGCTTTCTGTATGCAAACGAAACTGACCTCTCCGATGTTTTTCGCTTTTTTTAGGTCAGACTTATTGTCTCCTTTGAAGGAAGAAATCTCATCGTAGCTTTGTTGTTGTTGCATTGTTTATTGTTATCAGCTCATGTCATCACTCTTCGATAATCGATTAATCGCAGATTTTCTTAGATTACATGAATTGAGCTCTTGGCTTGAATTTTTTGTAAAAAAAAAATAGCTCGTTGAAACAGCAATGTTTCTCTGTGTGTAACCTGCCTTTGCTTGTAAGCGACGCTTGAAACAATTGTCTATCATAAACTTTTATCTGTTTGGTCTCATTTAACCCTGGGGTAACAACAACTCGCCAAACGAGGTATCACTACGAAAAACATAAGACAGACAATTTTTAAAAACATAGTTGGAATATTGCTGTAGTCTAAAGGCTAGAGGAACCTTGAGCTTTCCGAGCCAGCCCCTATTCATTCACAGTCAGTTTTTATCAAAAAAAAAGGGCAGCAAAAGAGAAAGAAACCAGACCTATTATTAGATAATGAAGTATTTCCAGCAGAATGCGTAAAACAGATGCAAGAACTTACATTCAAGTTACCTACGGTGTTTTTTGACTGCCGAAATAGCATTTCACTTCTTTAGCACAAAGGAATGTATTCAGGACTTTTAAATATCGAGGAGTGTCTTGCTAGAAGAGAACTATTGCCTGATATGAAAGCATTTGTTTGCTCATGTTGGTTCGAGGTTTGCGGAAATGTTGCTTTGACGCATACCTCGTAATGAGTTTATGGCGACAAGCTGGCGAGATTAAAAATGTCATCAATTACTCTTGGTAGAGCAAAGGGGGACATTAAGAGACTGTTAAATGTCAACTTACAATGGATTCAGAGGTAGTCGTCATCCAGTAACTACGTTATCGACCTTGGCTAACCTTCACCTTCCGTTAAAGTTGGGTAACATTTTAACCTTACGAAAGAGAAGCATCGTCATGGGTGACCAGTAAAAAATTTCAGCTTTGCAAGGAAAACTGAGGCTTCGTTGTAGAGGCTTTAACCTGTGCAAGGAGAATATTTCCAATTGTAATTGGAGAGATGACAACGATACAGATTAAATAACTTAATAAGAGATTTTTCTCTCTCAAAAAGAAGATCTCGAAAAACGTTATTAAAAGATTAATTAATGGAAGGGGGTAATCAGAGTTTATCATAGTCTTACTCGTTATAGCTGCGTAGAAATTAAACATGTGAAAAATTTTGCCAGGAGTACACAACGCCCTCTTCGAAAGTCTCTCGAGACATTCATTTGGATCAAATAACCAACCAAAAAAAAGAAACCTCAAATAACCAAAAATTGACACCAGCAAATGAAACGCGTAACCGTATTTTTATTTCAAGTTTTAAATCTTTAAATAAGATTGTCACATTCAGGTGCAAACATTACTCTTTTGCAATATTTTCTGGAAATTCCAGCTTGCAATATTGGGTAGCCTGTGCATAATAGTTTCACAGGAATGCAATAGTAGACAGGTGGACCGAATATCGGACGAAGAATTTGCATACATTAGATTTTAGCCCTTGCAGATCCATGGCTTTGTATAGAGTAAAATTCGTGCTTTATAGCACAAATGACTGCTAAAAAATTTACGAAAAAAGATTCTCTCAATGACTTATCATTATAAAATTATCCAAAACTAAGTATATTACAATTTAATATCTGCCATGATTCAACGCTTTTTAGCATGTTCACAAATTTTCAACCGAGCTTCCAAAATAATTCCGAAAATTAAAAAAAAAAATTACATTATCTTGGAGAAATTTGTGAGAAGCGATAGCGGAATATTCCCTGGTTTCAAAAAGAATTTGTAGCTCTCTATCTAGAGAGCAGAGGTGTATAAAATTCTATCTGTGATACTTTTTTAAACGAGAGAGAAATGGGATCGAAGTTTCGACGCGAAGTCGCTTTTAACCTTTGCAACAGCAGCCGACATTTGCTACGAATAAAACGAAAGAAAAAACAGAGAGTTTTTTACTAGAAGTTTCTCTCCATTTCTGTATCAATAAGTTTCTTGATGTGACGCAAAAAGGGCGATGAGTCAACTGTCCTTTCCACAAAGAATTCATCTGCGTTCTCCTTGCGTGTTTTTCCGCAGGTTTTTCTCGCGGGGAGTCTCTTGGACCGTCTTTGAGTCATTACGGCTCTATATTCAGCCACGTTCGAAAGCGTCCAGGCAAAAGAAAGATATAATCTTCCCGACAGCAAAAGTCTCGCTACTCTAAGGGCGCACACCACAAGATAGACACCACAAGCGTCTAGTTCCAAAATAACCAAAATATGGTATGGAACAAATGTCACTACTTTGACGACAGCCGATAAATTCGCTAAAATTGTTCTTGGTAAACCATTTGACGTAACCGACGCCCAGCTACCAGAGGTCAGCGAGGTTTTACTTGTTCTAGCCAACGCGTCTAAGATGTAAACCATATCACAGAGGAATATGACCCAAACACATAACAAACTGGAGTTGTAGGTATTAATTTTCGACAAAATCCAACCGCTTAGGGCTGCATTCATCACGTAAATGTCCCATATTCGACACATAATTATGGACAGAGAAGCCATTCCTTCGGAAATCCAATTCCTTTGAAATTACGGCGGTGGTGTTCTCGGGAAAAAATTCTGAGTTGTCGAGGAAGACGAAGAACGTTGACTAAGCTGACAGCCCGTGTTTGGCTGTTATTTAATGAACATTGTCAATTCAAAATCAGCACGTGCAGACGAGATGATTTCTACGACCAAAGTCCAATCGAACCATATCACCAGCGTGGACTGCATGTTCCGCGTTTAAAAATAGTTCACATTGTTTGACAATCTCAGGGACGCGCGATGAAGAGAAATGAAGTTATTCAATCAACGAAGCCGGGAAACCATTTTTTTTTATGGTCGTTCATAGCATTCAAAACGCTTTTAAAACATGTGACATGAAAAACGAGTGTTGCATCACCAAATTGCTGGTGTTTTAAATATTAAAGGTAAATGCAAATGTTTTATTTGTTTTTATTCCGCAAGGGATATTAGTTTAAGATTTCGGGAAGCCCAGGATCAAAACAACACTGATAACAGCTTTTTCATTGCCTTTGTTTACAACCTGAATTATTTTTTCGACATATTGTATACTTTTTTTAAGGCTTCACAGTATCAGCTGATATTCAAAGTTCGGAATTCAAGTGATTTGGGGGCGTTCCAAGTAATCTCGTGGATTAAACTTAAGGATCAACTCGAAATAACAGCAGATCAATATATGAAAGAATCGATTCACAACCTTCAATGGAATTTTTACATATATTAAGCAAAACGAACAAAACAAATTTTTTCTAAGAATGAACCAGACAGATCTTAACATTGCCATCACCCTAGGTCGACTCTTCTGTCCGCAGTTTGTTACGTGTCACGTATTTGCGTGCAACGGCAGACGCCTTCAATATTTTAGCTTGTCACGTCCTCAGCAAGTTCAAGAGAAGAAGAGGAAGCCCGCGACCTTTTCCCTGCGACCCACGGGAAAGTTTTGAGCAGCACATCCGTTGAGAACTAATTTAACTTTCGTTAATGGAACAGTTCTCACCGTCTTAACTGGAACAAAAAACGTGTAAACATTTATTCCCTTTTGTTAACCTTCTAAGAAAAGCATAACGCCTCTTTTGCGGTAAACGGTATCCCGCCGCTAAGTGGAGTACATGAAGCTCAACATGCCTCTGCCCCTTCCAATCGGAGGAGAGCCGGCCGCCCCAATACCTAAAGAGATAACAAAGAACTTTTAGTCCATTTTATTCTTTTTTTTTTTTTTTAATTTTTCAACAAAGGCTAATGAGCTTTGTCTTTCACTGAGTTCAACTAACAAAGACTGGATGGCCACTGTTGCTCAAATTCTTGGAAAAGTAAACCTGCACAAATTTGATTAGGGAAATTTGAACAGCAACAGCGAAGCTCAAAGTCAAGCCGTAAGGAAATAGGTATCTATTGGTTTCTGTCAACAAAATAGGGTCAATGTTTTGAAAATTTGTTTTTTCGTTTTTGCTCTTTAGTCAGAAAAAGCAGTTATGTTTAATTTATCGAAAACAAAATTATTAAATGTTACAAAAGAATGGCTGAAGGAATGTCTTGAGCGAGTGAAAGGTTTCATAACCGGAAAGGCGGGCTTTGGTCCGGGATCTCGATTTTGCATATTTTGTTTGCATCGTGTCTTGCAACACACAACGACGGTCAACAAAGGGAAATTTCTGTCACATTTCGCAATACGTTAAGAAACACGATTCCTCGTCCAACAGCCGAAAGGGAATGATCGCGAGAGAGCCCAGCCTGATGAGATAGATATCAAATTTTTTGTTTTCCCTCGCTTGCTATGCCCACTTTTCCTTCTGATTTTTGCAGAGTTACCTCTACTCAAGCCAATTAATACGTATGCTGATTTGCTGGATTTTCATAAAAATTGGCCAGAATGTTCGTGAGATATTAACGAACCAAAGTATGCAAGACTTAAACGAAAATTCCAAATATTTCTCTCGTGAAGTCCCAGAACTTGACAACAACCGAACTATTCTCTTTTGTCAAACTTCAAAATAGATTTTCTCAAGAATCATGTAAAATATCGAAAAAGCTTCACACGCTTTGTTAACCAAATATTTGTTGAGTGATACTGTTTAGTTTGTGTGGAGGTTCGTGGTGATGCAGAGGCTGGTAATTCAGTTGAGTAAATACCGTAAGCTTTGTGTTTTAAGGCTCGCGCGCGCCTCTCAAAACAAAAACTTTAACAAACTATAGATTATGCTATTTCATAATCTATACTTTTTAAGCTTCACATCGATATATATACTTTTCCGTGGTTTCTGTAAAAGTAGCACGCGTAGCACGTTTTTCTCCGGAAAGCACCCTATTTTGTCGACTACACTCTTAAGCCGATTCAGTGGACTCTGGTGACCTTTCCCGCTTAACAGATCTGTTTAAGTAGAATTACGTGACTTAGACCATAGCTATCGAAATATCTGCCTTTCTTTCGTTGATCTCTCTTGACAAAAATCATTGAATATAACACGAACGAACACTTAAAGCGTAAAAGAAGAAGTAGAACAAAGTTATGCGCAAGTTCAAACAAATCACTGAGATGTTCGGGGTAAAATAATCCAACCGTCTGAAGCGCGGGAAAACGCGGGCGACCAACTCGTGATTGGTTGATAAGTTTTGCATCTGATTGGTTGAGAAGACAACGCATGTGATCAGGTCGAGATTGCTTTTGATTTCCATGCCCAACAATCATTGCTTAGGTCAAGTATATTTGTAACTACGGGCAAATGTTTCACCCTCAGTGCAAATAAATAAATAGAAATAAAAACGTCAATACCTGACGTCTTTGGAGGACTGAAGGAAACACCGCCAAAATTTTTCTTCCGAGCTTCCGCGTGGAGTCTGGCCCTACCGACTCCAGCCAAGTGGGTAGAACTCACGCCAGTGGATTTGGGCGAGGTCGGCTGTCCACGAACATTATTCATTGGGGCAAATTCTGGTTTTTCGTTTGTAACGAGTTTAAGTCTAGATTGAATTTCGTTTTCGAGTTCTTCGCTCGCATTTGTAAGCGATGAGGATGAGGATGAGGTTTTGCGTGTGTCTTGGGAGGAAAAACTTTTATTTCCGACGCCCGGTCTTTCAGAGTTACTATCACCATGAGCTAGCTGTCTTGAATATTGTTCAATTGACTTATCGCACACCACTGGATTTTCATGAAGCGATCGAGATTGCGCTTTCATATTGTCGAGACAGTGTTGAAATACTGGGTTCTTTGGGGTTGAAATAATGGTTGCCATAGGACCTCTCCGAAGCAGATCCGAATCGTGAAAAACCTGCTGTTGAGAAGAACTAACAGTCACACTTTGTTCGAGACTATGACGAAAGATGGGATTGTCTGTGCCCGAATAACGCTGTCCACGATTTTCTACCTGCGAACTTAATCCTTGGGAAGAATTGTACAATGATGATGGGAGCTGCACTTCTGAACTACAAACGAGAAAAAAGAAAAGAAAATATATATTTCAGCTGACTGAACGCAAGCAGGCTTAAACTCGACGAGCGAGTGCCCGGTTCTTTCATGCTAAAAATCATAGCTGCCATCTTTGATTTTTACAAAAGTGGAAGGCTAGGAATCGAAGGAAACTTGTACCAATGGATGGGGGGGGGGGGGGGGGGGGGGGGGGGGGGGGGGCAACGATCGAAGGAAAGAGATGAGAGAGTGTGGGCCTTTCCCCTTCTGGTTGTGTAAAATTTACCTCATACCCCCACTTGGGCTCTGTAGTATTCGAATGAGCGCCCCCTCCCCCTTCTCATTGGCTGTCAATTTTTATAGTCCCCAAGTCCCCAAGTATCAAGATCAACTGTACTCAAACAAGCTAGCCTATCATCAACATTATGAAAAGCTGGTTTCCAGCAATGGCATGAACTAACTATAAAAGTTAAAAACCACTCAAAATATACACAAGAAAAAAAGAGAAAAAAAAATATATATATATCTGTGTACACTAATATCCATGACTTAAACTATTAATGCATTAAATATAACCCTACGAAATAACTTAAATATGTCACATTTAGTCTATGGGTTGAAATAAGTTCATCAAACGTAGACAAAGTTTTACAACTACGTATTTCAGTCGGTAAAGAATTCCAGATCTTAACACCATTATAGCTGAAACTCTTCTTTAAAAATTCAGTCTTAGGCAACGGAACGGTCAACTTATCATCAACGTTCCCTAAATGATAATTGTTGGCCGAACACGAGTCCCTGAAAAAATTCGAAAGCCTAGCAGGAGCCAAGTCATGGAGAACCTGAAACATTTGTTTAGCCTTCCTGTGAATTTTGCGTTCGCTAAAAGTATGAATTCTACATTCGCCACCATTATAAGACTGCGAGTGACTCGCACTTCGCGCTGGCTTTGCGGTTACCTTCGTTCGACTGAAAATCGCGGAAAAAAATTCGATCTGTCCTGCATGCTACTTCATCTTCATAAAACAAGATCTTATAATAAAGCAAGCAAAGTGTTTTTCGAGGTATTACCTTGAACTTCTCAATAGCGCTTCCCTTCTCATTTGTTGCTTGAATTTCTCACGTTCCTCCGGACTTAACCTAAAATAAATAAAAATACTTTTCTAAGCTTAAAAAAAGGAAAGATTAGGAACAAAATCACACGCAGAGAAGACACGGGTTTCCAGTTTCATCCCAGGGTTTCTCAGCTTCTTCCTGTTTCTCCCGCTTTTGAAAAGTATTCGTGTTTACCATTCGTCTTACAGTACATCTCAGACAGGACGCTTTCAAAATTGCTGGAAAACTGTTATAGCGCGAAGAACACTTGTCATTTAAAAACCTTTCAGTGGTACAAACCTTTGAATATCAGTAACTGCTGTGGAGTCAGACGATTGAAACGACTCATGCTTAGGAAGGATTCTGTCGACTCTGTGAAACAGTTGACTATGATCTGCCTCTAGAGATTTCAGAAAAACAAGCCATGTTACAGTGTTATTTATCAACTCTAAATTGTCATGGGTGATTTACAAACATCAACCTTCCCCTTACAATAACAACACATTGTTCGGTTAGCAGGTGATGAGAAGAGACAAACTCATCAGCTGTAAGCATGGGCTTGCATTCTGATATATTTTCAAAACACTAATTAAAATCCTCTTTGCTAGAGTGGCCCCAGGGTGTAGAGAAAGAGGTGTTGAAATCTGTTAACGGATAGCAAGTGCATATCAAGAGATATCAGCAAAATTGTAATGTAAAATCATTCTTAACTCTTTAAATCCTAGGAGTGATCAGCATCTTATTTCTCCTTACAGTAATACTGCTGAATCATTCCTTAACCCTTTAACGCCCAAGATCTGATTAATAATTCTGCTTATTGTCTGCCATACAATTCCTGTGATGCTAGTTCTGAGAATTTGGTACTGGATCAACAAGAAAATCCTCAAACTTACATTTTTCCAAAGTCTCATCACCTGTCTGATTGATATTGTATTGATATTGTAACGAGAAATTCTGTCTTGGTCACTCATGGGAGTTGAAGGGTTAACATCATGAGAAGACAAAATGATTGCCAACTGAAGAGGTTTTGATTGTTACACAAATTCTCCTTGTCGGTACCAAAGGACAGAGAGGATTATGGAGAATATGGCTACTGATGTTAGCAAGTAAAGGGTTAAACCCGTCAAGGTTTAGAAGTCTAGATATGACCCTTGGTCCTTGATCCTTGATCCTTGAAATTGCTGAAAAGATGCCTGTTAACCCCTTAACTCCCAAGATCTGATGTCAATTCTCCCCTCTAGCTGCTACACATTTCCTTGTACATAAGTTACAAGAATTTGGTGGTAGATCAAGATAAAAACTTCTTCCTGATAAGTTTGAGTATTCTCATGGCCTTTTTGCTGGATAATGTTTAGATGTTACAGGGAAAAGTTACATGTTAATCACTTTTGGGAGTTCAAGGATTAAAAACTCAGGTTTGGACGGGATTTGAGCCAGTGCCACTCTGATACTAGATGGGTGATACCACTAACTGAGGTTCAAAGCCACATGCTAGGAACATGGCAAATTTATCATCTTGTTAAAAATCATTTCTAAGTTTTTTCAAGTAATGCACTCTCTCCTGTAACAATGGTTGTCACTGGAAAGAGATCACATTAACTGATGAAACAAAACATTACTATTGAAGTAGACTATATAACATCTCAATGATTTTCAACACACTTCAGAGGTTATGTAAATAATTCACATATAATCAACTCGATAGACAAAGTAATCTAATTACCCTGATCATCCCAGTTTTCAGTTGATGGTTGCAATTCTTCTGTTCTGTGGTAACTTGGCACTGAAGTGTTGCCTTTGAAGTAAAACCCATCCTCATCTTTTTCACTTCCTACATGTAACAGACAAATTAGAAAAAAAAGGGTAAGTCTCTTAACACTTTCACTCCCAAGATCTGATTGTTCATTCGCCCTTCCAGCGGCTACACATTTCCTTGTTAACTGGTTATGAGAATTTGGTGTTAGTTTACAACAACAACTCAACTTTATAAGTTTGAGTATTTTCACCATCTGTTTGCTGGATAATGTATGAATATTATAGGAAGAATTTGCATTTTTATCACTTCCAGAAGTTAAAGGGTTTAGTGCTGCATTGATGGGAGGTATTTCAGAATAATTTGGTGTTAACAACTAAATGAACAAAGTAATTTGGCCATCGTAGAGATATTCTAAAGCTTATTTTTCAAGCGTTAGCCCTTCATCAAAGCAGAATGTTATATATTACAACTCTCTCAATATCCACCACTCATTTCTGCAGCTTTCCAGGCCCCAAGCACATTTGAGGAAGTCTTACTGTCAGAATATTAAATTTTATTTCACTTAACCCTTTACAACCTAACATCAGTATGCATGTTCTCCTTACTGTTCTTTATACATTTCCTAAGGTGCTGACAAGGAGAACTTAATTACCGATCAATTGCTTCTCTCGTTGGTGATCATTTTTCCTTTACTCTCATGACCTCAATGTTTGATTCAGGGATAATATTGTAAGGAGAAATTAGATGCTGGTCACTCTTAAAGTTTAAAGGGTTAAACTATCTATTACACATGTTCCTTTACACAGCTTGTTAACAAGTGTTCTTAATCAAAAACACTTAATGCCATTTCATAACTCATAGCTTACCAAAACCAGTATAGTTTCATACAGTAATAAAATACTATCTTAACACTGTTTGAAGAGGTTCTCCTAAAAAAACTCAGTCATGTAAAATACCGGTATTTGGCCTTCTCACTCATCAAACGTAATATCCAGAGTTTTTCATGTTTGCACGAAATTCCGAATGATCATGTTCCACTTCAAAATTATAAACCAAATTCACAAATTGATATTTTCACTTTTTCAAACTTGTTTATAATGACATCTCATTTCATTTGCTCCAGAACCATAAGTGGTTTGTTTTGACTAATTGTTCGTCATTACCTAACCACAGCTGTTCAAGAAAAATACGTACTCATTTTCAAAACAATGAAATAGCAGGAAATTCATCATGCAAAACAAATTGGTTCACAATTCACATTTATTTCAGTTCTTCATTCATGAGTCATGCTTCAATAAAAAAATCAGTTGCCATGGACATGAAAAAGATCTTATAATCTTTAATCAGGATTAACAAATAAAAAATAATTTAAATCATGATTCACAAGAAAAAAAAAGTTGCCCAATCATGCTTTTTGTAAAAAGTATAGGGAACCTTCTCTGTAGGAAGAAGTGTCTGGGGGTGGGGGATTACTATATTACTTTTTCCCCTGGTGAGGATGCTAGTCCATAACAGCATTAGCTGTTAGGTTTCTGTGACCATTCTTTGATACCCAATAATACTTTTGGACACAGTTGTTTGTAAGGTGGATGATGCTGGATAAATCTCTATTCAATGGATGGTGCAGCACATTCTGTTAATACTTATCAACAGGATAACATTTGAACCATTTGCAAATGTTTTCTATCCTTTGAACAACTTGGCTCTTGGCAGAGAGAGGCCTGGTGGGGTTTATGTTTCTTGCCTGTGAACACCACACAATGACCTTGCTAGGTCTCAAACCCAGACCTCCCCATCCAGAGTCCATTGAGTCCATTGTGCAGATGGTTAGGCCAGTATTAACCCTTTGACAAGCATCTAATTTCTCCTTACAATATCGTTAATGAATCACACAGTAAGGTCATGATAGTGAAGGAAATGATCATCAACTAAAGAAGCTCCTGATTGTAAAATTCTCCTTGTCAGCACCTTAGGAAATGTATAGAGAACAGTATGGAGAATATGCATACTGATGTTTGGGTGTAAAGGGTTAAGATTAGTCCCGTAACTTAACAGGCTTTGCGAGGTATAAAACTACAGCACATGGAAAGGAAATAATCCAGCTGATACACATCTGTTGTTGGAAAATGCTGAGAATTGATCCATGAGTGTAGTCCATGGAAAATAAGTAAAAATTAATTTTCCAAACAAAATTCATTCCTTACCTTTATAATTATACTGCTCAATGGTAGACTAGAAGAATAAAAAAATGAATATCAGGTTGGTTACTTTACATCTGTTAGGTAATTTCTCAGTTGCAAGGGGTGGGGGGAGGGGGGGGGGGCGGGTTCTTTGGGTGGTTCTTGGTGACCAGGTACTGCACCAAATATTTATATTTGCATCATGTTCAAGAAGCATTGCAAATTCCAAATGATTTCTGGTTCAAATCATGTTCCCTTGAAATGAGAAAGTGTCAATAGCTTAAAATACAAAGTTTTAGTTGTTATTTCTCTCACACAAAAAATGAAGAATGCTCTGACCATAAAAAGATTGGCACTTTGACCCAAAAATTAAATCATCATGAAAGTTGGAGAAATAGTGTTGTAAAAACTATGATAAGAGGTTCTCTCCATTTTCAGGCTTTTCCAGAAGCCCACTAATTCACTCCTTGTGTACAATGCACAGGAATAAAGAGAGTAAGATTCTAAAGAAACTGTGGTGCAGCTTCAGTGGGAGAGTATAACAGGGTAATTTAGTTTTATCAACTAAGTTGATACCATAAATTGGTCACCATAAAGAGTTTCAAAGCTCTCGTTTTGAGCTTTAGCCCTTTGTCAATCATTCTGGCAAAGAGATAACATTTGAAACATCAGCTTTGAAACCCTTTACGGAGGTGAATTTATGTTATTAACAAACTTGATAATACTAAATTAAATTGCACAGGCTTTGGTACCCTGCATCACTACTGGTTACACAGCAAAGGCTGATTTGTGATATTTAACACCCTTTTATCCACAATTAAACTTGTTTGGAATAGAAGCTTGTAACTCCGCTGCCAATATGACGACGGAAAATCATATCAAAGAGCAGGTAAGTATTATTTTTGTTAAAACTTAAAATACAGCTCCCAAATAAAGTAAATGTAAAAATTATTTCACAAACTCCTAAAATATTTAAACAAAATGACATGACATTGTGCAGTTTAGGAGACAAACTTAGGAAAAACTAACAATGATAACTTAACGCTTAAAGCAATTTTCTCAACAGTAATCACGAAAGAAGGATTTCTTCATAAGTTGAGGGAATCTGCCATAGAGATCTTAAGAGTTAACCGATTCAAATATCAACTCGAAGACGAAAAAGCATGCAAATAGAAATTTAAACTGGATTATTCCACTTACTCTATCGGGACACCGGCTTACATGATGTCTAACATCATGCCTTAGCATGACATGTTTAGCGTTAAAAGGACAGTTAACAAAGTCTTTATCGGGATGATTCTGCCTGCACTTCATCAGATGGTGTTGAAATCTCTTTGCTTTTATTCTGTGAGCTTCGTCGTACGGACAAATCATTAGTGTATCTGGATCCCAGCGAGACCAATCCTCTGGAGCAGACCAAGACATCTGTGGTTTCTATTTTGCTAAAGAACAATAACAAAAGGATTTTGTAACAAAGACGCAAACGAATGATCCGAAAATGTATAGCAGAACTAGATACCGCTCGAAGGTCAGCGGAATCAATAATATATATATCTAAAATTTCATCGTGTAATCTTCACAAAAAGTGTTAGCGTACCCAGTCTTCCAAGCGTACCCAGCGTTTCCAAGTTAAGGGACATATACTAACTAAAGTGGGTAGTTTCTAAAAATTGGGACGAATTTCGGCAAAGTGGACCTTTTTGAAGATCTCAAGCCCTCCCAGATAGATTCTTCCTACGGGTCTCTCTTCTTACCATCACATGGGACCAAGGCTACCTCATGGATGCCGATATTAAATTCAATTTGTTATTATTATTTATTTTATTTCCATTTACTTTTCCGAAATCGTATTTTTAAGTATGTCGTACATCTGTTTTGAAAACTCTTTCCACAACTTCTTCAAGATACATGAACAACTTTAACAGTTTGGGTTTTTAGACTTTCAAAAGTCACTCATTCCGACAAAAAGCGAACGCTCGAAACGTCAGCTCTAGAAACTCTTTACAGTGGCCATTTATAATTATTTACTGAGTTCATGAAACTAAATTATCCCCACTAATGCAGCACCACAGTTGAAAAATTTATCCCCTTTAATCAATTTTCAACTGGGGCGCGCACTTCCGGATCTTGACTGGTTCTTTCTAATGAAATTCCCAGTTGATTAAGAGTAACAGCTCTGGCTTGCCCGGCTGTTTTGACGGGTATGATCCGTTCCACTCTATCAAGGCACAGCAAACGTTTATACTCCTGTCTAAAATTTCTGTTCATGGCTCCATAAATAACAGGGTTGACAGAACTTGACATAGTTGCTGAGATTGAATAAAACAAGTACACCTGCCTGGGTTGATTGGAACCATTTTGAACAAAGTCAATAGCTTCAATAACAATTACAGGCGAGAAACAGAGGATACTCCCGAGTACCATGACCAAGAGAATTCTGGAGACTTTTATTTCTTCCACATTTACTCTGGTATGGACTCCGTTAGATTTTTTATGCGCGCGCACCGCCCGAAATATCCTAAAACTACAGTAAGATAAAACACTCATAGAAACGCCGCCAAAAATCGAAATTAAAGTTATAAAAAATGGTTCTTTGCCGTCTTGGTTACAAAATATTTTTCCTGGATGAAAGCTGTACGTATGTCCGGCAGCAACGTAAGGCAACTGCACCAATAGAGCAATCAACCATGCAGCCATGATCATTGCTGAGGTCCTCCGCGCCGTAAAAAGTCGGCGGCAATCGTTTGGTTTCACGATACGGTAAAATCTGTTGAGCGACATCAGAGCAAGAGACTCAGTAGAGGCGAAGGCAACGGCGCTACCAAAATATCCTTGGAATTGACACATCGCATGATCGAAAGACCATTCACTTTTTACCAAGACTGATGCGTTTAAAGGGATGGCAGGTGTCACCATTAATATGTCTGATAACGCCAACGACACGATGAATTTGTTTGGAATTGTTCGTAGTCTGGGTGATCGTAGAACAACTACTAACGTCAGCATGTTTCCGAGAAATGCCACTATTGTGACCAAAAGAATCACGACGGTTTTTATCACAATAAGATATGTGTCCCTTGACTTTAGATCGCGGTCAAGTCTTTCCAAGTTATCCATTTTTTACGTATGCGTAAATGACATTCAACGCCCTTTTTGTACCTAGACTCCAAGTATCAATTCCTCACCTGACGTCAATGTAATATGACTATCATACAAAATGAAGGAGAGTCGAGAGGCGAAGGAACAATAAGATGAATAAATCTCATCGAGGGAACTTCATAACTTAAAAGGATCTTAGGGTTGTCTCCTATCTTTCAGATTGATTAAACGAGAGAACAGGAAGGCGACTTTACTTATGATGACAGACTGTTTGACGAACATGCCACTTGGTGATATAAAGAGGATTCGGATTAAAGTAAATATAACCTTTTTTTTTTTATTCGTAGACCCATCCACGAATTAGCAATCTCTGTCTATCTGTTTACAGGCATCGACATTACTGATACTAGTAGTATGTACTGAACGCTTGTCATCTATATTGATAATTGTAATCCACTGGATAGGCGGCGAAATCCGTTTATTTGTCTTTTTTTTTTTCGTCCTCATTACTCAAGATTTAATCAAATTCAACCATGAAAACCGATATCACTAAAAAGCAGTTACATCTTTTGCATTTGTTTTCGACTCAAAAGAAAGTATATATATCATTGTGTGATCTGAGGCAGATATTTTAATTGTAATTTACTAATTGGAACAAGGAAAAAGAAAAGAGGCTAGTGTATCTTTATTAAAGTTAAATGATGGGGTGACTGAAAACAAAGTCCAAAAGTTATGGCAAGAATATAAGCCAATTTCTTAATAGTAAATTTGTCGCTTCAGTTTTCTACCCGCTGAATTATTTTGCGAAAGTGAATAAAGTAAGAATTCGTTCCCATTTGAATATTTTATTCATTTTGAACTATTAACTAACAGCTTGGCCAGGCAAAAACGATTCGTTAGACATATGTTCTCAAACGCACCAACAAGCTGAATGATTAATTTCCATCGTATTCGAACGGTTCTCTTTAATGAAATCATTCCTTTGTTATAATTTTCATGTTTTGTTTTCATCCATTCCTTTTGTGTATAAAATGCGAGCAGCTGCGTAGCCCAGTCACCTAGAAGCTGGGAGTCCCAAACCCTAATGACACAGAAATTTCCCAGTTATTTTTCTTGCAGTTACCAGAATCAGCCATCAGTATTCTCAATATCCCTCCCATCTGTTCCATGCTATACTCTTTTTTCCTGTGTTTCAAAATTTTGAAAATATCTTACCGTTTAATCAATAGCATGTTATGCAACCCACGAGTTGAGATGAAAATCATGGGTTAATGCATATCAAATACGCTTTTCAGTTTGTGTCGTCACCAGACATGGCGCAAGATAATTTTCTTCTATCGAAATAAATTTTCATCTCTGATATGGGCTTTGTACCTTCAAAATTCTATATCTGTTGTATTATTCTTGCACAAAATAAATCATTTACAACTTCGATTGTGAAATTTGCGCTTGTTGTGGTTTTCATGTGTTGTAAAACTTATATCTTTCTCACTGCAGATGTACTTAAAGGGAGCTTCTACTCGATCTTGCATTTATACCTCCACGTCTTTTTCTTGACTTGTAAGATGTTAAACTAATTTCTAAGTATGATAAATATTCAGGCCATGAAAAGAATCAGTTCTAAATGTATTTCATTTGCACAATTCGCCAAGTTTTCAACGAGCTGCGTCAAATTTGAGAAGATTCAGTAGTCAGTTATCTCGGGAGCTGAAAGAAGATCAGGACACCCCAACCTAAAGCCGGAGAGTGTCGCTAAACTGTAAAGTCGAAGTCCTCGATGTAACGATAGCACTCGTCGTACAAATACAGCTTATTTGATGCCTTCGTTGTTTAGTCAGCACTATATAGCTTTATAATTATTTAGTGAAATGTTCATCCTTCTTCTGATTTCTCTCCAGTGGATTGAATTTCTGGATGGAAAACTTCGACATTGAATTCTAAAACGCAGCAAGAGAGTCCCTTCAAGTTTTTTGCTTCGAAGGTTTTAATGAAGCTCAGTTCATCAGGATCAATGGCAGTGTCTGAAGTATTTTTTTTTTTGGCAACTGCTGCTGCAAATAATACAGAATTGATGTGATTTTCATTTTAAAGGCTTTATATTTAACGTAAAAGGATGAAGTTGAGTTCCAAATAAATAACTCGACTTTGGTAAATTGAAAATTTAGAGTAATGAATGGTTTATAAATTAGACAGTTAAGGAGTTATATAGTCACGCCGATTAATTGAACTGGTTAAAAATATCAGGAATAGTCAAGTCATACTTGAAATGGTACAGTCTAAAGTAACAATTTATGTAGCTCACATTGAACTGAACAAACCTCTATGGCAATTAGTGTAATATCCTCGGTAAAAATGACAAATGTAAGCCTTAAATATTCAGTGTAATGTGAAATGATTCGGCGCCAAGCCAAACACGTAAGCTTAATAAATAGGGGGTTAACTTTCTAAAGAAACTGAGGTGCTGCGTCGGTGGAAGAGTATAACAAGGGGACTTAGTCTTGTTAACTGAACTGATGACGTTAATTGGCCACCATAAAGAGTTTCAAAGCGTTTCGAACGTTAACCCTTTGTCAGAGCGACTGGATAAGTTGCAGTTCTTTGTTTGGACACCAAACAGTTCAGCGACACATTGAATAATGTAACTTAACGGCAAACGCTTAGGTGTTTTGTTTTGTGTTTCTTTGTAAATCTATTTCGAGCTATCAGCATTCGCTTTCTTTGCAACTTACACCAGAACATAGCACGGCAGGCTTGCTCAGGCTGATAACGTCTGAGCCGTTATGTTGCTTCTTCAAGTCATAAAAATCATCAACACCTCTTGAGTTCTAAGGACTGTTTGTAGCAATTCCCTCTTTCACGGACATAAAGACAGTTCTCTCAACTGTTTAACCATATTTCAAGAATGGTCAACAATGGTCCCGTTTATAAAATTACTAGAGGAGTAAATCCAATTAAGAAATGAAAGCACGAAAGCATTCTACAACCAAAGTTGTTGCTTCTGTTAGCCTCTTTACTATCAGTATCTTTATTTTGCTTGAGCTAGCTGAAAGGGCCTTCTCATGTTGCTTAACAGCCATCAAATCTCTCTTCACGGAACATCTTTATTTCTATGTCTGAAACGCCTGGAAAAAAATGTGAACCGCCCTTTTGATTTATGAAGATCACTTATATAAT